GCAGCACAGCCCTCTGCCCTTCGGCCCCTCGCAGCGGGGGGCATGGTCTTGGCTCTCCCCAGACCCCCTCGCACTCACTGGGCTCGGCAGAAGGAAGCCATGGCTAAACCCCAAGGTCAGAGCCTGCAAAGCAGCCCATCCCCGCCAGGCTGGGGCTGCTGGGGTCCCCTGGGGCTGGAAAAGCAAGAAAAAAGGAGGATGAGGAAGGGGGCGGGGGATCACAACCAGCTCCCCCAGAATTAGCCAGGCAAACCTACACCATTCAACCTGAATGCCTTTACCAACAGCTGCGTGGGGATATACAGACTAGCTCTGGTTTTGGAGGTTGCCTGGACTCAAGCCCCTCTGCTCCCGTGGTCCCTCCTTTGCTGGGAGCCTTTCGCCTGGCCTGTGGGATGCCGGCGTTCGCCGGCAGCCGGGACAACGGCTTCAGCACGCAGGGACAGAGGTCCTGCCCTTCCCGGCACTGAGAGACATCACTGCCTTTAGTTGCTGTAATGGGTTTCTAAAATTAGCTGCACACTCTGCCCTTGGACTCGAGCATGACATTTCTCAGTTGTTTAATATCAAAAGTCCAAAAAAAAAAAAAAAAAGGGAAGCAAAGCACAAAGGCAAGCCAGTCAATGCATGTCTAAGTTTATTTTATCACTTGTCCCGCAGAACTCAACATCTATTTTAAGTCATTTATGAAGAGTACAAGTGTGAATAGTTGCAGAAGTTTTGCAATTCCAAGACACCACATACAGCTTCTAAAAAAAGCAAATTTAGTCTTCCCAACAAAGCCTCAACAAGCATCCCACCCTTCCCTGGATCACGTTTCCGAGCTACTGATTTCAGACAGCAAAAGCTCATCTCCTTCACATCTGAAGTCAATTAGTTTATGGAGAGGTCCCCGGCATATGGCAGCATCACCCCCAAGCCCCTCGCTGGCATCTCGCCCCGTGGGTGCCCCCCTTCCGGATGGGCTCGGTTTACCCCGCACCGAGCGGGACAGGTGCAGGTTGGTCCCTTGGGGTTTATCCCTCCCTTCGATTTATGAGTATTTTACATTTTGCTGCGGGCCACAGGTCCTATAAATAAACCTGGGCTGCCCGTGGCAGATGTGAAGCCTATCACTGCCTCCACGCTCTGTTAGAGGCCTCGGCTTCCCAGCAGCGTGAATGTGAACAGATCTGAATCTGCAATGAAATATTAATTGGAAGCAACACTGTTCGCCTGTCTTCAGAGGGGAATTTTAATTGAGGACCACCATTACCTAACAAGCTAATATCTTCCCGCACCATGCGGTCACAGCGAGCCGAGGCAGGAAGAGGGGGTGCCAGGACCTGCTCTTTTTAATCAGAGCCTCTCCTATCACCTTTTTCTCCCCAGATCAACCCAAATTAGCAGCCCAGTGTTCATCACCCAGCAAACCCGCCACCAGCAATCGCTTGATTTGACTTGTAGTTTCCTAAAAGGGTCAGATGTTGAGCAGATCAACTACAAGGCAAGTAAAGCCCTGTACGAGGTACTGCCTTGGATTAGGTGAAGCCGCCGCAGCCAGAAGGGCAACCAATGCTCGGCAGAAACATCTCAGCAAGTCTCCTTGCTCCCTCAGGTCCGGAGCATCCCAGTGAGATCAGTCCTGACCAGCAACACCTCCCTTCATGCCCGTTAAGTCCTAACTAGCCGGGCTGTTTTCAAGCCGACGGCTCTTGTTCAAGAAGAGCATCTGCTGGTGCTCAGCAGCATGGTAAGAGGCGGTGCAGAAAGTCCCGAGACACCCTTCAGATGGAGCACAGATGAGCAACAGCTTCATTTGACTTGAGAGGCAGTGAGAAGGCAATGCGCTGAGCAACCCCATCTTTGGGGACGGCTGATTTTTATCTGCCACTGTCTCGCTGGCTCTGCCAGAGCTCAGCAGGACTGCTTGCCTTCTGATAATTCAATAAACCAGAGCAAAACAAGAATTCTCAAATACCATGACACTTGAAAAAGCACATTCAGGAGGTTGGGTTTTTTCCCCCATTTCTGGCTAAATTTAGTCCACCCAGGGTTGTGCTGGATTTTAAACAGGATGGAAAGAGATATTGCATCTCAGAGGAGTACCTCTTATCTTGCATTTTCCCTGTATTTTGGTAAAGACTGACCTCTCTGGGACATCAGGAGGACACGGGCCTCCTCCAGGAAGGGAGGGAGAGCTGGAAACGCCTTGTCCTGCAAAACGGCTCTCCATTAGCTGAGACTTTTGATTTCCAAAGGTGGGAGCGAGGGGGAATCACTGCTTCCATCCTATGAAGCAGAAAGCAAAGCTATAGCAAAGTGGCTGGCAGGGCGTGAAGGGCCGGATCCTGCCGCAGGATGAAAGGGGAGCTGGCGCCCGTAGGGTCGTGTCTGTCCGTCACTGCCACATGTCGCCCGCGTCCCCGTTCTCGTGAAACTTGTGGACGTGGTCGGCGTACCTGGGGAAAGGGTACAGGCGCGTTAACTCACAGCAGGGTCCGAAGCACTTTGGTGGCTGGGCAGAGCCGCTTCGTTTCTGAGCGCTAGCCACGATAATTAGCACCACGCTTTCCTCCAGCCATGGGCAGCAGCGCCTGGGAGCTGCTCAGGGCAACTGGAGTCAAGGCATGGCCCTGATCCTGATGTCCAGGCTCACATTTGGCTTTAGCAGGCTTCCTCGCTGGGCAAGAACCACTCATGGGAAGGGATTTGGAAAACACTCGACTGAAGACAGGCAGTTGCCATGCTCTGTGCACCTTTTCTGCCCCCCATCCTCATTGGAGTAAGGGTTTAAAACCCAATTAACTGCCCTTGTTTGCAGGACAGAGGTGAATCAAGCGGTGCCCAAAATATCTGCTCCAAACCACCATGCTCCATCCAACCCAAACCCAGGTGGACAGTGCTCCCGAGCCCCGGGGCTGGGCTGACCCAGCCTGTCCTCACACCCACTTCTTAGCGCAGTAGGCAGCACAGTCCCTTCCCACGCTCTCGCTCCAGGCTGTTTTGTAGAGGACCTGCAAAGTAAGAAATGCAATCAGCTCTGCTTTCGCCTGCCCATCTCTGCCCGCCCTCGCAGCAGCCCCTGTCGCCGCTGTGCCATCCCGTCCCTGCCATCCTGCCCCCGCGGCCACCAGCAACATCTCTGCTGCAGCGTTTTGCAGGCACCCCTGGCTTTTGTGCATCAAGCAGAGACCTAAAGCGATCCTTTGGGTAAAATTGGTTTTGCAGCCTTGCATTACCAGCGTGGAGAAACGCAGCGTGTGTTTCAGGGGGTTGTCCTCAGGACGGTCAGGATGACCCTTTCCAGGGGGTTATTTTTGCTGGGGCAGCGCTGCCGCAACTGCAGTGGTTTGGGGTAAGGCGGGCACGCTCCGGGCTGCACATGGATGGAGATGTGCTTTTGGAACAGGCGTAAGGAAGGTCACTGCTTGGTTTGGCTCCTTTTTGCCTTTGTGCCACTGGGTTTCCATTTCAAAGCTGTGGTCCGAGGAGGTGGGGAGGCAGCGGTGGGTTTTGGAAAGAAGGAGAAGCCCTCCCGTCCCAGGCTGATGCATTAAAGCCTTGGGGATTTGTGAGCCGTTGTTATGTTGTCACCAGGGAAACACTCTAATTCCACAAACACCCTTCAGCGGGCCTTAAAATTAGGGTTAACTGAAATCACAACAGGCAGAAGGCAGCGGGCAAGAAGGGGTGAAGGCTGCAATGTCTCACGGGATTAGCGGCGCAGGCATTGCTCCCACCGTGGGGATGGAGGAGCCGGGGGTTTGTCCAGTCCCCGTCGGACACACGGTGCGTGCCCAGCCCAGGCAGAGCTGGGTGCTGGATTTCAGGCCCTTTTGTGTCTAGTTGAAGTAAGATCATTTCAGCCATGTAATATTTATGAATTTTTTTTTTTTTTTTTTTTTTAGGTTTGAGCTTTAAAGTTTAATGATTAACTTTTTATTTTCTTTGCTCCTTTCCTCACCAAAATAACACAAAGTCAGTTTTACTTTGAGAAGATCAGGATAGAAATATTGTTCTGATTTGTCTTTCATCTTGTTTCATTGTTTAATAATTTATTATTTTGGTTTTTTTCCCCCTGAAATGACAAATAAACTCCCAGAAACTGTGCAAGAATATAGGAGGAGTTTGCACCACGACTGATTCCCAGGGGATTCAGGCTGGCTCAAGCTTCTATTCCTAAACAAACCTCTACTTCTCTACTTCCAACCCTAATGTACAGTCGAGGAAACTTGAAAACTAGAAGAAAACAGAGCTGCAGGGCAAGTAGGGAATGTGTGGAGGACCAGAGCTCGTACAGCGTAGTGCAGAGCCAGAGCTCATCACCTGGAGGAGCCGGGAATGTAACCGAGCTCCCCCATGCAGAAGGTTAAGGGATGTACCCAGAAATGGGAAGGTGGAATCGCACATGGTCTAGAAACAGGCAACGTGGGGTCATGGGGCCATATTTTATTCCTAAAATTTCTTACGCTGTTGGCTTCACAATAATTAACCGGAATTTTGCTGCCTGACAAACAGAGTGCTTGCTTGCCTGAGTGCAGGGAGGGCCAACCAGACCTGCACGCAAATATGCTAAACCCCGTGTGAGATCCCTGCGTGGTGGCACCGGGGCCTCGCGGCTGTTTCCAGGCTCAACGTGAAGACACAGACGGCTCCCAGCTCCTGCCCTCGGCCAAGCCCATGCCCACCCGAGGGTGGCCATTCCCGCCCCGTGAAGCTGAGGGGGACATTTATTGGCATGTACGTGTCTCTGCTGAGCTCTGCTGCCCACGCTCCCAGCCACCCCATGCCTCTGGACCCAGTGATATACCAGCTGCAACACACTCCTTGGCATAATATCTTAAGAATGCAGAAATTCCCCCTGGATGGGATGCTTGCTGCCATTTTAATGGGGTGCCCAACCCACCGCCGCCATGGCCCCTGCACTTACGAGGAAGACGAGGCAGTGCAGGAACAGGGTATAGAAGAAGGCAATGGTCCGAGCTGTCTTGTTGGACAGGATGAGCCGCCCCTGCAGCAAGAGCAGAACGGAAAATCCCATTTTAATGCGGGTCAGTGGGAACCAGCCCTCTCTGTGCACAGGCTCGGAGAAACCCAGGCCAAGACTGGGGCCCTGTTTCTGCTAGACCCTACGTAAACAGCAGGCGAGGCAGGATGCCATCTGTGCCAATCTCTGAGCAGCTGCTCTCCTTCAAGGCGACTACCACAAGTGCCCATGCTCTCAGCCCAAAATTGCCCAAATCGAAGTGAATTCAGGGCTGCAAACTGCAGGGTTTCCTGCACTAAAAACTCTCTCAGAGTTAATTTTGAGCTGCTTTTACCCCAGCTTTCTCCACCGGCTCTGCCCGCTCCCCCTGTGCCAGCCCTGACTCAGCACCTGCCTGTGGCTCAGCACCACTCCGGATTGAAACCCCAGCAGTAATTAAGTCTCGCACATTTTTAATTCATGAGCTCAAAGAACTTGTGATTTGCAGCATCCCCTCACCACCTCCTGGGCAGGGCAGCCGAGCAAATGTTGCGCCGGTGTTCCCGAAGGCTGGCCCTGCTGCACAGCCCTGCCTGCACCCCAGCTCCAGCGCGGGACCCCAGGAATGACTTAGAGGAGGATTTCGTAGCCAGACCCAAAGTGATGGTGCAGCCTCCCAAGCGCCCCGGCACATTTTAGGGGTGATCACCCTACACCCTGGGATTTGCATGCTCCTCCAGCTCCTGGCATCCCTCCCTCTGAACCTCCAGCCAGCTCGGCCTAAAGCAACCGTGGCCCCGTGCTGTGGCTCTGGAGCCGATAAAGTGGGATTAAAGGCTTGGTATGGTGTGGAGCCCCCAGCTTTGGCAGCGGTGAGGCTACGTGCTTGCTGAGACCCGTGTACACCCCCTGCCAGGCTGCAGTGATGGCTGAGCACCTTGGAAAATGTAAGCTCTCAAGGATGCCGGTTGCTGGTGGACTATTGTTTTTAGGGGAGCTGCGTGCCAGACCCCCAGCTGCTCTCCCCAGTAACAGCCCTCCTGCTGCATGGGGGAGGCTCATGGCTGGGCCTGGTAGTCTGGGCAGGTCCCTGGGGTGCCACAGCTTGGCTCACTGCCCTTCCCACTTGTCACAGATAACTGTATTTAAGGGAAGGGCTTCACCCCCCCGCTTTGCTTATCCATGAGCATGGGCTCTCAGGCACGTGCTGCCTCCTCCTGCTGCTGGTCCCCAGCACAGCTGGGTACCAATGCGGGAGAGGCCATGAGGTGGAGGAGCATCAGCAGCCCTTGGGAAGGCACGCAGCACTGCTCGGGCTAAAGCAAAGCACCTCCGAAGTACGGGCTGCCAGATGGCCGCTGCCTTGGGGGATTTCGGAGGGCAACCGCAAACATGGAAAATCCTTGGGCACCTTCAAAACCTCACTAGTAACCCTGTCTGCAGTTTCACCCATTTCTCTGGTCTATCTTGAAAGATTTACCCTCCACCTTTGCCAGTCCTGCGCTAGCCCACAGAGATGTCCGAGCTCACTGGGTCCCAGAAGCCCTGCGGGGACGGGCTGTGTCCTGTTCCAACCCCTCATTTTGGAGAGGCCACTGAACAGCAGCCAGACCCTGATGATGTCCGAGCCCTTCTGGCTCATGACACTAGGGTCCCGATGGGAAAACCTTCGTGTCCATCCCTTCAAAAGAGCCAAAGTCAGGAGTAACCACAGCCTAGAAAAGCAGCTTACGAGGGACAGATCCTACCTTCCTACATAGCAACTTTTTATTCCCGCTGCAAAAGCTAGGGATTCATTATGGACATAAACACATTCCACAAACCACCACGTGGGCTTTCCAAAGCTGGCATTAAAACCCACAGATCTCCCACCAAACCAATTCTGGGCTGAAATCTTCTTTGCTATTCACGGCCACAGCAGAGGCTGCTGTAACAAACAAGATTATGTTCTTAAATATTCCCAAGGAATAACTCCCCTAAGTCAGTTTTTTTGTAAATGCCTTTCATTAATTCTCCACGGTGCTGGCACGCCACCCAATCCATATTCATGTTGGCATTTGCTTGGTTTTTATGCAAATGACAACTTTGCCTTTATTATAAGATATTTCTGTATTCTGTGGCTGTTGCAGACCCGTACTCCCACATTAACCTCTGCTACGCCAGATAGCTGGCGGTTAACTCAGCCAAAACCTGATCCTGAGCCTGCTGCTAATGTCACAAATATAAGTCGGATCTCGATACCCACATCTGTAGCTTAGGAAGCAGCATTCATCCCTAAGAGATGGCAGCCAATACCCACGGTGGCAGCAGCAGCCCTCCTGCCCGCCACAGCTCAGGCGAGGACCCTCTGCTGCTGCAGACACCAGCAGCTCCCCAATATTTTCCCCAATGCTTTTTTGGAAGGAAGAACAGAGCAGGAAGGGTCAGGGCTCGGGAAGAGCTCCTGGGCTGTGTCCTGACACTGCAGTGGCCTGGGCTGTGGCATCGCTGGCCGGCCTGGGGCTGGGTCATGCGCTCCAGCCATGACCCCTTGGGATGCTGTGGGATGGAGTGGGGAAAAGGGGAAGGAAGGGCAAGGGAGGAAAGTGATTTCTCCTAAACCGAGCCCCAGTGTGGCCCTGGCATGGTCTGCACCCCTGCCTGGGGGAGCAGGGATGGGGTTTGGCCCCCACCCAGGGCCAAGCCCAGCAGCAGCATTCCCTGTGCAAGCACCAGGCTAAAAACCTCTCGCCACCTGCTGTGGCACAGCGGGTGCAGCCCACTCACCATGCTCAGCGTGGCTTTATCCCAGGGACTGAGGCTCAGGTACTTCCGCTGGCGTTCCTGCAAGTAAACAGTACAAGAAGCTGATTTTGAGGCTCAAAGGGCTGATTTAGGGTTTGCAAATCAGGGAAGGAGCCCTGTGCCCTGGGATGCTCCCACCCCCACGTATACACAGCCATAGGGGACATCATGCGGGAACAATAACTTCTTTTATTTTTTTGGCATTTGAGTGTGTTTTATACTTTCAGAGTGCTGTCCCTGAATTTCATCTGAGCGATGAAATAATTTCCCTGAGAGGTTTCATTCTCTGGCTGCTCCTTCCCTTCAACACACCTGGACCACCTTTCTGCAAGCAAAACCAGAACTGAGCACAGCAAGCTGCTCATCGACTGCAGCACGCTGCAAAGCCCCTTCCCTCCCTACGCCGGGCAAAGCTGTGCTGCTCTGCGATGCCGAAACGTGGCCGGCCGAGTCCTACCCCTTGGGAGGCAACGATCCTGTGGCACCAGGAGGGGCTGACGCGGAGGAAGGGTGCTGGCAGCTTTTCATACCTGCCTGCTGAAGGAGGAGAAGGGGTCCAGGCGCTCTTCGTACTGGGAGGAGTAGCGCTGCTCGGTGTCATCCCTGCTGCCGCCCTGTGGGAGCAAAGGCAGGGTGAGAGCCAGCGGGCGCCGGTGCTGGCATCACTGCCTGTACCCGTGCCCCGCGGTGCAAGCAGCGCTTGGACACCCGGCACAGGGCCAGAGCCCCCCAAGCCCCCCAGAGCTGCTCATTTGAAAGACATGACCCCCCCAAGGGACGGAGCAGCGCAGCCCAGAGCTGACCCATGGGGCCGACAGGATGCGTCACCTTCAAAAAGGAGAAGCACAACAGGGGCTATTTAACAAAGTCCTTTCCTCCACAGGGACTGTGCCAGCCCAGAGAGCTCACCTGGAAATGCCTGGGCTAGGGCAAATCCCACCCTGAATTCTTTTGCCGCTGGGCCAGGTAGGAGGGAGGCAGCGGTTTAGCAGGAGGAAATTGAACATGTATGTTTAAACACACAGCTATCATTAGCTGGGCAAAGGGCAAGGAAAATGAAGGTAGCTCCTTGAAAGAAGTGAAAGGTGTAGATCAGTTCAGACATGCTGGGCTTTAAACTCCTCCTGGGACAGAGGTTCCCCTTGCGCAGCCTCGCAGGCAGCGCTGGACCAGCGGCAGCAGCAAGCCCCAAGGGCGCTCGTGGAGCCTGCACATCCCTGCCCCTCCTTTCTCCAGCGCTACCTCTGCAGGTGACGAGAACTGCAGATTCCACATTGTTCCTTCCCAAAACCAGCCTGGAAACAGCATGTGCTGTCAGCAGGCGCAGCCACAGCCTGGTGTGAGCCCTGGCTCCCAGCTACGTGGGCTGCACATCCCTGCTCAAAGGCCCCGGTGCTAATCCCTCTCTCTCCCCCCAGCACCGTGCCTTCTCTGGCTCTGCCCCGCCAGCACGGTGATGCTGACATTTACCGAGGTCTTTCTGGACCCTTTACTACGTGCTGCTGGTTGTCCTGCCTGGCCACGCCAGCACGCTGGCCGGTGGCTCCGTTTCACCGCGGGTAAACCCCGCCGCACACAGACCTTTAGCAAATATGCCCTTACGCGCCGCAATACGATCCACGGGTCACTGCACAGTCAGAAGCCAGCGATGAGACCAGCTCCCAATTTAGGGGCGATGAATTCACTATAGCCTGGCCTTATTGAATGATCTTTGATGATTATTTTTAACGTGTCACATGCCCGATTAGGTGGTGAATTATGCAATCCCCCGTGCTGCTGCGTCAAAGGCTTTTGCTCTTTAGATCATGTGAATGGCATTCAGGGGTTGCCTTGTGGCAGCAGATAAACATGGATATGATCTTCCGCGGGAGAAACGGACAAAAATGTCAGAGGGGCTGACCCAGCGTCATCACTGAGACATAAATAAAAGAACCAAATAAGGTCCTTCACGGCTGTAGGAGTTTCCCATCCCCAAATGCTATTAAAATATCCATCAATAAAACGGACTCAGTCCAGCCAGCGCAGAAAGGCAGCAGCGCTGGGGGAGGACGGCAGGGCAGGCAGCAGGCAGGGCGAGGAGCTGGCAGTCAAACCGATGTCCCTTCCCCAGTTATTGTCACTTCTGCAGCTACTAGGAAAGCCTGAGGTCATGATAGCCCAGCTGTGACTGAGGAAGTGGTTGCAATTGAAAGCTCCCCAGGTGGCAGCCCGACCAGCTTGCAAAAGCCCCAGGGATTTCCAGGGATGAAACCCCCAAGGGATGTGGCACGAGCAGAGCAGCTTCCAGTAAGGTCTGATGCTGCTCCCCAGCTTCCTCCTGGCGTTACTGGGATTACTGGGATGGTTTTGGGCTGGTTTCTGCTCTTTTGGGAAGGGCCCCTGGCTGCCCAGGAGAGCAGGAAGCCGAGCAGCTCTCTCTGCTGGCCACAAGAAATTCAGGGCGGTGAGGAATGAGAATAGGTATGACAGGATGAATTATTTTTCAGGCTCTAACTGTAGGGATTTATTGCAGGAGGTCCCAATTTAACCGCTTGCTGCCTGGTTGGGCAGGAGCACCCACGACTTGCCTGCTGGCGCATCACGCCGACAGCAGTGAGCATCAAAGGGGTTTGCAGCAGCTTTTTCAGGGAGGAAATTTGAGCTTCCAGCATCAAAGATCTCAGACACCCTTCAGCATGGTTAAAAACTACCTTCCCAGCAGAGGGGCTGGGTACCTGCTCCTCTAGGCAGAGCACTGCACCCTTCTTTACCCCAATTAGCTCCCGTTTTCCAACTTTCACACAAGGTGCGTGTGGGTAACGTGCAATTTCCCCACTGCTCTTGTACACGGAGCGCAACGGTCTATGTTTGGAGTCCGTTTGTCCATCTGAACCCAGCTGGAGGCCAGCCAGCCAGCCAGCCACTCACCCGGCCGGGGTAGCTCTGGAGGAACTTGATCTTCTCGTAGAGCTTGATGTTGTCAGCTCTCAGGTTGTCCAGCTCGCTCTGCAGGGCATGCACCGTGTGCTGCATCATGCGGTTCTCCTGCATGGGGGGAGCGAGGGGGCCGTTAGCAGCGAGGCCGGGGGGAGCACAGGATCTAACCGGGTGGGAGGCAGAAGGGGGGTTGATTGGTGCATCCAGCTGGGGTTCAGTCCCTTCTCAGTAATTAAAACTCCCTGGCTTTGAATTAAAATTACTCCCAGATTAAAATGGTCCCAGCTGCCGCTGAACGGGGCCCCCAGTCCCTGAAGCATTAATGAACCCGAGCCCTCCATGGCTGAATATGGGCCGGGGCAGCTGAGGTGGCTGCAGGTGGCTTTGGGCTGAGACCTGGCCCCCACGGGAGGTGCAAAGCCAACTTGCTGGCTTTGAAGAGGTCATTTTGAGCTGTACTTCAATTTGTAGAGCTACTGGGCTTTTACCCCAAACCTCATTCCCTGTGTGCTGATTATATGGCACCCCTGAATGCTGTGCCAGATGGCCAAGCACACCTGCAAGGCAACAGGAATTTGGACCTGTCCTTGAATTGGAGCAACACCGATGGGCTGGGGGAGGCTTTGGTCCTGCTAACAGCAGAATATATTTTTCTCTTGCTTGCCGTGGCACTGCCTGCGTTGTGCTGATGATAAATTCCCCGCAGGTCATTAAAGCAGCCAGCTCCGGACTGCAGGTCCTGCAGCCCCGCATGGCCACCCTCCCCACCCAACGTACCCCCTCCAGCTCCTGGTTCCTGGCCCGGAAGCGTTCCCTCTGGCTGGAGATGATGGAGAGGAGTGAGTCCACCTGCCCCTCGGGGAACGAGGTGCTGGGGGACGGCGGGTGACCTGCGGACAATGCTTGGCATGAGAGACAACCCAGCAGATGCCCACCACCCACCCTGGAGCAAAGCAGGGCTTGCTTGAGGTCCCCACTCCGACACCGCAGGACCACCCAGGCAGATAAACTCCTGTGCACAGCTATTACAACATGGACTAGTTTTTATGCTTTTTCTCATTTTTTGGGACTTATTCTGGGAATGGACAGGTTCACTCCCCAGGGACGACCAGTTGCATTATTTGGTGCAACCTGTGGCTGCCTTCCCATGACCCCAACACTCCCAGTCCCTGCCAGACTCTCCCCCGTAGCTTCTGCAGCAGCCGTAGCCCTAATAAAAGACCGAGTGTCACAACCAGCCCCTCCATCCATGTACTCTTCCCCTCCTTGCAAAACAGGCATCCCCATTTTGTCCTTTCTCCTCTTTCAGCCATGCCAGCAAAGCAGGGGCAGCTCACCCGCAGTCGTTGCCAGCTTGCCATGCCCAGGAGCCCCATTTTGTGGGCGCCCCCCATGGCTGCCCCCCACGATGGGGCTCTGCAGGTGCCCAGGGGGCTGCAGCCATCCCTCCCTGCTCTGCCTTCCCAGCAGCAGGAGGCATCCACGGCCAAGGAGAAAAATGTCCCCGAGGCCGTGACTCAACCTGCTGCACAGAGGAGCTATTCATAGCGCAGGATGGGTGGCTGCAGGTTGTTTGGCTTGGTGGGACTGTTGCTGCGATATTGTTTATTGTATGTTTTCAAAACCTTTCAAAAGAAAAAACAACAAAAAAAAGAAGAAAAAAAGGAAATGAAGTGGGTTTTCTTCCAGAGGAGCTAAGCGTTGTTATTTGTTTGATTCATTTTCTCCTGCAGACTTTGGCACAGGAACCAACATAAAGGAAATGTTTAGCTCACTGGCTTTGGAGGGGGTTTGGTGCGGAAAGAGCAGGGGTTAAAGCACAGGGTGCTTGGTTCAGCCCGGGTTCATCGGCTTGCCACGGAGTCAGGCTGGCACATGCCCGCTGCACTGTCTCGGGAGGAGCCGGAGGACCAGCAAACCATGCCGAGCATGGAAAAGCCATCACTGGCCCCAGTGAAGGACACACTGCGCAGGTGATGTCTGTGCCTGCTTAGCAGCATCCTCGTGCCACCATCCCCGGAGGTGTCCACCCTGCCATGGCACCGGACGGCACCCACCAGCACCTCAGCCCCGGCTTCGCGCCCACCTCTCACCATAAAACAGTGCTGTGGCCTCCTTGATGGGCTCAGGTATCTTCTCCAGGCTGGGGACGGCCGCACCCTGGGCAGCAAAGGCAGAAGGGATTAAGCGTTTCCCACCCACCTGGAGGTGCCTGGTCAAAGCAAACTCCTTCTGGGTCCTGCTACCGCCCTGGCACCCGCAGCCTCGTGGGAAGCATGCTGCCAAACAGGCACTCTGCAAGGATCAAGCCTGAGACAACATGGAGAGTCTGGTATTCAACCCTCAAATCCCATCCTCTCCCCGGGAAGGAGAAGGGCTGGACGGTCCCTGGATGCCAGCACCACTACACCTTCCCATTGCATGGGCACGATGCAACCCTCTGCTGGTGAGTTGTGAGAAAGAAAGAAAGAAAAGGGAGGGGAAAAAAAAGAAGAAAAACCAGAAGAGGTGACATCTGCGGCTGGCCCCTCCATCAGTGACAGTCAACCCCTAGGGACATTTTGAGTGGTCCCTGCCCGCTGCCAGGAGCCAAGCGCCGCGGGTCGGGGTTACCTCCGCATCCGGGCGATGCACGGCGGACAGGGCCTGGATGGTGCTGAGGTCGTGCTCCAGCTTGGCGATGAGCTCCTTCTGGCCAGCCAGCGTGGACACAGCCTCTGTCAACTGGATCTGCAGCTCTGCACAGCGCACTGGAAAACAGAGCCGGGACCGTCACCCAGGGGTGGCCCAAAACCCCAGATTTTGCCAAGGGGACACCAAAAAGCTGAGAACCCCCCACTTGGAGCACCGGAGCCAACTCACAGGCAGCAACCCTGTTTTCTCCTTATTCCTGGGGGCAGCAGGAGGGACCGGGCCAGCAATCCCTGCTCTGCTCCAGGCAGAAGCGACCAGGGGCCCAAGCCCGCCTCGGTGATGCCCCAGGGCAGGCAGCCACCCCCAGGCAGGACCAGTGCCACATCCCCGCACTGCAGGCAATGTGAGCGGTCAGCTGCTTGCACTGGCACGGCTGCTTCAAATGCATCAGTAAAATATTTTTGGTGCCTCAAGGGTACCTGGCAGCACCCGGCTGGGCAGAGCAGGGGGACCTGGAGAGGGATAAGGGGAGCTGAGCCCACGAACCGATCCCTGGGTCTGGTTTGCACAGAAAAGGCACGATGGAGGTGGACTCCAGGCAGCACGTCCCTGGCCACAGGTGCTGGGACAGGCATACACGGGGGGACGGTGCCACGGGGAGTTGGAGCAGGGTGGGGGACGAGGAGGGGCTCAGGTGAGACCAATCCTGCCCCGAGGCACCGGGCAAGGCTGTGCAGCCCCCAGCATCCCCGCTTGGCCAATTTTTGACAAAGGAGCCCTCCTTCCAGTTGCCCCCCCAGAGTAAAACCCACGCCCTAAACCACAACAGGCACTTGCTGGAATGCTCCAGGAGCAAAACAAAAGCCTCTCGTTCCCCTCGTATAACCCCAGCCCAGATGTGAAGCAATGGAGAGACGGGGCCAAAACGCAGCTACAGCGAGAGGTGCAGGACCAGCACCACAGGGCAAGCTCCTTGCTCTGTTTGCAAATCCATCCTGAAACACAGAGCATCAGCAAGCAGGAGCCCTGTCCTGCAGCAGAGATCTGCTTGTTTCACCTTTCTCCCTTGTTGCCAGCAATGTCTGGGCTTCTGCCTGGCTGAAAAAAAAAAGCTCAGCTCAAGGTTCAGACCCCGCATTTAGCACTGCCAGCCTCCCTGCCGCAGGGCTGCAGGATACGTCCCTCTGTGCCTGGATTTCCAGGTGGGTGAAAGCTCAGGTCCCAGCTGTTCCAGTCCCTCCCTGATAATTCCCATTGTAATTATTCCACTGAATTCCAGACAGCTGGAAGGCAAAAATCCTCATTTATCAACAGCCAGGGAGCAAGAAAAGCAAAGGCTGCCTGGGAAGCAGCCACGCTGGGGGAGAAGCGAGGGCCGACTGTTGCGCCCGCGGGGCATCCTACCCTCTCTGAAGACTTCAGATGAGAGGTACAAAGTGTGTGCAGCTCAATTCTAGCTCGCCCAGTCCTGCTGGGCTGGGAGCTGCCCCACGTACCCCAAAACCGGCTGCAGAGAGGGGTCCTTGCACGCGGCTTGATGCTCTGCAGAGGCTGGCTGGGAGGGCTGGGCTCAGAGCAGCAGCAGGGATGGGGGCTCGAACAAAGTCATGCCTGAAGCCAATGCTGCCTTCCCACGAAGCAGGGGCTTTGCTGGTGCAAATTTCCCCCCTTTTTGTCAGAAATGCAATGCCTATGTTATTCGCAAGGCACCAAGCCTGCCTGCAGGGAAAGGGAGGTGACACATGCTTCAGACACAACACATGGATTTATTTTTTTTTCTTCTGCCTATTTGCATTTTATAGGCCCCAAATAAAAGTCTCAGGAAAGAGCCAGGAGCAGTTGTGATAAAGGTGCAGTCCCACTGGAGGTCAGTGTTTCTCAAGAAATGGGGAATCGCTGCCTGCTCCCAAAACATGGGTGGCCTGATGCAAAATATTTGCATTAACAAGATTTGGAAAGAAGAAAAACCTCTTCCCTACGGTTAATTATTTAATTGGCTGTCTCTTTAAATTGCATTAAAATGTAATTGGGAAGCTATTACTAGCCAAACATGGGCTGCGGGGCCCAATTCTGGACAAGGCAGCCCTGATCATTGTGCAAAAGGCCTGATGCTGCTGCCGGCGTGCCCAGGCTGCACCACGGCCAGGAGCAGAGTGGAGGGGTGGCTGGGGCAGGACACGCTCCTGGCTTCCCACCCTGCCCAAAAAACCTCTGCAGAACTGAGCTTTGGCATCCTGCTGGAAGAGACCCGAGCCCTGGATCCCAGCTCCCTGGTTTCTCTCTTAAATGATTTTTTTTTTTTTTTTTGCTTTTGAGTTATACGGACTGAGTTTTTCAGTTTGCTTAGGAGAAAAAGGGGTCACCAAAGAAACACATCTCCCAGTTTTAAAGAAAGCCATGTCCTTCCTCCCTTGGGTTTCACTGCCTCAGCATTGGCCAGTTTTCTACAAACTGTCCATGGAAACAGAAAAGACTGGAACCATGCCTTAACACTGAAAGCAACCAAAATGCATGGAGCTCCTCTCTCATCTCCCCTTCAGTATCTCTTTTCACGGTTGTTTTTTGGTGGTTTTTTTTTAATCATAACTTTCTTTTTTCAAAGGGGCAGCGGCCACCCATGAGCTCGTCACTTCTCTGCCAGCAACCCTTCACCTCCAGCAGCGGGTGGACGGCTCTCCCTGGAAGGCAGGTCAGTTCAAGCATTGAGAAGAAAATCTGCCTTTGTCTTCTCTAAGCTGCTGTGCTGGAAAGCCCTCGCTCTGACCCTTCAGATGTGCAAATACCTCAAAAGCTGTGGAAGATCGTGAGGTACTGCAGAAGATAATGGGACAAAGAAGGTGAAGCCCTGGGGAAACTACGATTTTAAACCACATATCTTTAGCCTCAAACTCCATCGTTCCTGACTTCTGAGGCAATGGAGAAACAGGCCTGACACTGCCATCACCTTACGGAGAAAAGCAATGAAATGCAGCAACTGGGCAACCGAAGGCCGGCAGAAGTCACCCGCCCTGCCTGGTGCCATACTGCAGTGCTGTTGGCACAGGCAGGTCTGGTTTTAGCTTCCCGGCTCCACCTGATACACAGAAAACAAGCAGCTGAGACTGGATCGTTAGTGACAAATATCTTCTGCTTTTCTGGGATTCCTTGGGAAGGTGGCAGAGCACATGGGAGCTGGACCAGGAGTTTTGCATGGGGCACTTCCGAAGTTCCTAGAGAGCAGTTGGCTGGGTGAACTCTCCTCCTTGATCAGGGTTTTCTTAAATCAAATTCCCCGTGACACTGATCCCAAATCCCTGAGCTTTCATCCAGCCTGGCTGGGTAATAACACATTGTCACTAAAAAAAAAAATCACTAAAAAAAGTTTCTGTGGACAGGCTCACAGATGTTTGGCAGAAACCACCTACAACAAACACGGGGCGACGAGCAAGTCCCTGGTGGAACCACTGAACTTTGGCTGCCAACAGTTGAACTTGGGCTAGCACCTTAACACCACAGCTGGACCCTCCTGGGCTTGAAGAGAAGCACCTTTCAGGACAACGATCAGCCACAAGCCTCTTCCCACATACCCTATATGACTGACCAAATCTTCAAATCTTTTCTGTATCACTGAACATCTGGCCTGATGAAATGCCCAGCAGGAGTGGGGAAGGGGATCAGGCCCTCTGCAGGGAACCAACCACTTTGCAGAAGACTGGTCATCCGTCAGGAAGAATAATATTGGTAAGGCTCTTGAAAAGCATCATAGCCTGCCCAAAACTGATTGAGTTATTACAGAGAGCCTCTGCTCAGAGAGGATGCTGTAAAGAAGATGTCTGTCCTGGGAAGTCTAAACACACCTCCGACCCCCTGCCTGAGGTGACATTGCCAAGAGACATGTGTTTCTGAAAAAATGTGAAGTGTCTGTGCGGACAGGCCATGCGGTGAGACACAAAGGTGTCTCACGCAGAGAGGAAACAAAATGGTCCTAAACGGAGAATAAAAGATTTAGATGAAACTCTCACTTCTTTCATCATGGATAGCACTGTCAGTCTCGCACTCCTCCAAAACTGCAAGTTAAAATCCTTGTAGTGAATATATAGAAAAAAAGTCCCAAAGCCCGAGGCTCCACGGGCACGTTCATGGGTAGCTCCGAGCCCAGCAGATGTAGGGGCTCATCGGGAGTGCCTGCGAGACAGCGAGCCCAGCACTGTCATGGAGCAACAGCAACTTTGACTCCTCTAACAAGCCCCAGCAATTGGACTCCCTTGGCAAATCATCCAAAATAAACAGCATCTGTTTTCACAGATGGAGAAAATTAAGACATACTAGCAACTTAGTTTGAAGTTATAAGGCCAGACATAAATAAATGAGAGGCAATCTTTCTGTAAGATGGTGGCTTGATTACTGAGGATACAGACAGATGAATAAATCACCTTGGGGTGAGATAGGCTGTAACTTGCTACACATCCACGAGACTGGAGTAACTGCTCATGTATATCCTCTGAGCCCGAAGGAAATGCGAGGTAAGTGGTATTGCTGAAGGGATCTGCAGGGTAGGAGCACACACATGGGCAGTTACTGCAAATTAGCTGATGCTCTGCAAGTTCACACCCTGATTTGCCTTATGGTAACTTTTTAATCTGCCTCCATCACTGTCTGGCCTCCTTGAATTTGCATAACTGTAAAAAAAAAAGTAAGCAGAGAAGCGATGTGGCACGCTAGGAGCTTTCTTTGAAAAACTATCCTCTCAGAAGTCAACTGAAGTGCATTGAAACCCACTACTTCAAAGGCTTTAAGACTATTTTATTGACTGGAAGGAAGATGATGGCAAGATAACTAAATCTTGGAGTACCTTGACATGAAGGCTGAGAAACCCAGGCATGAAGCTGGAGACTCACTGAACACAAACACTCGTGTTCGAGTGCGCCAGGACGAGGAGCGGGAGCCGAAGGAAGAAGCAGGAAGCGGTCTGCCACTGGTTTCTTGATTTTTCCACCTCCTTTACCTTTCTCCAGGTTGGGCCACTCCAGTTAATGACCATGTTGCTGTGGACAGTTACTTAGAAGTTGAAATGGTCATTCTTCCCCATGCAGAAATAAATGCTAAGGCCTTTTGGCATCTCTCTCCCATGAGTCTT